GCAAAAGCTCTCTTCTGTAAAGAGCTTTTAAATAATTGATTTGGAGTTAATTTTAATCACATAAATATTTTTATTTTTATATGCTCAACACTAGAGTAACAGCTCTTCATATTCCTTATTACTAAACAGATACTGAAATAAGTAACTTAAAAGGAAGTCTTTATTTGAACTTGCACTTGTGTACATATAAAGTTTTTAACTGCAAAGTCATCCTATTTAGTAGCTGTATTTAAGTCCGTTTACTTTTTAGTGTTATAATAGAGCTATACTTTGTTTAAACTCATAACTTACCTTTTTTGGAAATAAAGCTATGCCAATTAGTTTAGGGTAGTTTTCTTCAGTTTTTATTATGCTCAAATGACTTTTAGCCATTTTGTATTAAAACATCTCATCAAGATTTATATTTGCTTATTTTTATTATTTCAGTTGTATATAATTCATTTAACTGTAGGTGGGGTTTTTATGTAAGCCTATTGTAAATAGGATACACTCTATACTATAAATAATATATATACCATATGTACGTACTAATGTAGAGACTGTATTTTGAATTATGTGTGTGTTAAGTTTCTTTATTCATTAAGTCCTATTTGCCAATAAGTTTAGTAGCCTTATAACTTTGTCTCTAAGGGCCTTTTCTTAGAGATAAGATTAACGTGTTATAATCTTAAACGTTTTCTTTTTAGTAATTGATTAACATCAATTGAGTTACTGGAATACTTCGCATACTTTTCTGGACCTATAATCTATACCATTGTTTTTAAACATTAAACTTAAAACTTAGGGGGAAAAAGGTTCTTCAACTTGAGATCTTCTCTCCAGATCTCCATTCTTTGGAGTGTCCATGAGTGTGACCTGAAGAACTTGGAACCATTGAAATGCAAATGTAGGTAGGTAAGTGTTCACACCAGCGCATGCATTGATTGCCTTATATCTCTTTTTATATGCATCTGTATTGCACCCCCTCAGTGCCTTTCTTCCCCTTCCTCCCCATAGATCATGTAGGGCCTGTGTCATCTTGATTATATGTAATTGTGTAATTCTGTATTTTGGTCACTATTTGTCTGTGATGTGTGTCACGAGCAATTTTAAAATGTCTTCAGGTGTTTATATGACATTGTGCTGTCTAAAGACAGTCACACGTAACTGTTTGCTGTATATGAGCCTGGGTTGCATTTTTGTGAATTGTGTTTGTTGAACTCCGAATAAACATTCCCCTGGAGTTGCTGATATTCACTGAGGGATGCAAAAAGTCTCAGTCACGCATCATTTCACTGTCTCACTCAAATGTGTCTAGAGAATGTGAACTGTCTCTGGTTCTAAGAATTTCTTTCAGTTAGTTTTCAGCCTAAAAGTCATACTCCTGATACCATTCAGGATCGTGTGAGTGTCAGCTACTATCCTTTGAAGCCCTCTCTTTGGGCAATAAACAAAGTGATTGAACTGAATCATTTGTTTCCAGTGATAAGAATTAATACTAATTTAATCCACACAAACAAGACTCCTATTTAGCCCCTCCCCCAAATATTTATTGATAATGTACTAAGTTGCAACTGAAATAAGCACAGACTAAATCATGGAATATTCTCCTAGGCTTAAGTAGAGTTTCTACTCAAATAAGTAAAATAAGATGTTCAGAGGCTTGCTTAATGTAATTTTGCTCAAAATATTTGAACACCAAAATCTAGGATTCCTAGTAATTTTTAATTTTTATTTATTTATTTTATTTTCACATACGCCAAGCACATCATTGAATTTCAAAATCTCTTTTCCATGGTTTATTTTTTGTTTTTTTGTTTTTTGTTTTACCGCCTATAAAAGTTAGATAATTCTTTGGCACTGGTTTTTAAACTTTTGGTTTCAGGCCTCCTTCAGACACTTAAAAATTACTGAATATTTCAAAGAACTTTTGTTTTTATATATAGGTAATATCTATCAATTTTTGTATTCATACATATGTATGTAAATTCAATATTTACTACTGTACTAGAAATTAAAATGGAGATGTTTTAAAATTACTTAGTGTTGCATTTTAAAATAATAAAAATCCACTATATTAACATAAATAACATTTTTATGAAAAATAACTCTTCAAAATAAAAAAGTACTAAGAATAGCTTCTATTTTCCTATGTGTGATGGTGAAGAATATAATGACTCATACAGTTTGGTGCCACTGACTGTTCATACTAAAGCTCCAACAGTTTTACCCACCATTGTTTCCCACCATCATTGCCAATGTCAGTACAGTGAAAAAAGCAAATAAAATCTTGGCAATTTATTGAAAGTAGTTTTGACTTTGTGATCCTTTGCGAGGGTTTTGGCAATTCCACTTCGAGAGCCGTGTTCTAGGATGACTGTTTATCTTGAAATGAAAATTTTTATCCACTTGTTCGAATAGAGGTTTCTTTCCCCCTCTACTATGCCTTCATTATATAAGTCTCCTTCTTGCTATTGGAATAAACAGACTTTAGAGTTATTTGAATATAAATTTTGTTTTAGTTTTCATTATAGAATTAAATATTAAACAGCCAAGTGCTCTAAAATGAGTCTGTCCGTTAGATAACTATATGATTTTTTCTTTGTACTTGTATGTACTTTGTGTGTTGTATGTCAGTATACAATTAATTTGGCTCCTGGGTAGCTTTAAAACACATTCTCATGAAGCAATGCAATTTTCATGAGTTATGGCAATTCACACCATATGCCATTATGCTAAGCTACTTTTTTTCTCTGATCTACCAGTTTTAAATATTCTGCTTCAATTTATATATGCCAAAGATTTATCTGAAACTCTGAAACATTTCTTAACTTGTTTTCCTTGAAACCAGAATTCATAATACTATATACACATTTAACTTTTTGTCCCTCTTTTCCCTGTAACCAAAATTCATAATACTGTAAAAGCCGTCCAAGAAAGTGGTAGATATACCAAATTAGGAGAACATGAAAAACATCATCTTCTAAGTGGCACTCTCCTGTTGAGTTTTCTCCTTCATAAAAATGTGTTATTCTCTGATGTCCCCGGACTGTTGGGTTTTTATAGTTTGTACCAACAGTACTGAGGGGGTGTGTGATGTTTACATATATACAGGTATATAGTGGAGTTTGACTGACACTCAATGCATGCGCTAGTGCTCACGCTTACATACCTGAAATTTAATGATTCAACAGCTCTGCCGTATTTGAAGGGGTAATCAAAATGAATAAATAAATGAGTTAAAAATACTGATAAAGAGCAAGGATCTGCAGAGGTGACTCAATAATAAGGAACTCTTTCTACTGGTAAGTAATCAGAATAATTTCTAACTTGGAAACCTTCTTGGGCATGACCATTATAAATGTAAGCATAATACAAATATTCTGCCAATATAACATATAGGTATAATACTATATACCCTGGATATTACAGGGTATATAGTATTGTTATTTGCCTATAAGATGCATTGTGTGCATCATTCATTAATTGCTGGATTGTATAGTTAGAAAAAATATTTAACACAAAAGAATAAAAACAAATCATTTGGTTGAATATACTATTTTTTTATTTCTATCTCTATTTAGAACAGACTTCATTTAACTGCAAAATTTGAAATTGTTTCAGACTATTTGAACTCTAAATGTAAATTTCCCTTTTTCTCAGGCCTGTTTTCTATTTTTGTTTTGGTAACATTCCCATTTCTATTATAGATGGGCCCCAACAACTGAACTAAACAATATTCATAACTACCAGCTCATCAGTTTTCAGGGCATTCAGTGTCTGTTTGCTATCTCTTCACACTTTACTCTAAAAACAGGAAAAATTAACTATAAAGACCACTAGGCAGATAATCAGCTGGCAGGTGATACACCTCAGCCGGCCTTTCTGGGTTTGTTTTTTTTTTCCTGATAATCACCCAACTACTTCCTTATCTATTGGATAAGAACTATAAAGAGTGATAAAGAGATTAGTAGGCACACTCTGTCAACGGAAACATGCTATAAGGAACGTTTGCTTTATAAAAAACAGATTTTTATCTTTAGATTACTGATAGGTAACTTCATAGAATTTCAAGAAAATTATTTGCTTTGAAAATGGCATATAATTTTTAAAAGAAAAAAATTTTGAAAGCATTCCTGTATTTTTGGATGAAACACTTATTAACAGTAACTTTGTGTTTATGTCTGTCTTAGCTTATTCTAAGAGGCAGTACTTTTGTTTTGCATTTTCGTTTATTTACTTTCAATTTTGTTACAGGTATTCTGTTCTTGTTAACGAAGAGCCATTGTGGAAATCCAAGTCATATTAAGTACTTTAAAACCAGTTAGTTTCTTAGAAAAATGAAGACAAGCAGTGATGACAAAGCCATATTAACCTCATTCTCTTCACTTCTCAAGCCAAATTTTCTTTTCTTTGCTAAGATGATTGTTACTATTATTAAATAAAAATTTGAAAAGTTTTTTAAGTAACCCTTTCTTTCCTTGTTAAAACTACTTTTCATCCTGGTAGTCATCAAAGAATGCTCTGCTGCAATTAAACAATTTTTGTAAATTATATACTTCTTACCATTTGTCAAGGAATTCTGTCTTCTCTCTAGATCTTAGTTAAAACTTGCTTTTTAAATGCTTTTCATGTGCTGGATGATTTTCTGTAATGCAAATGTTACTTTTTCTAACCTTTTCATTTAAAACTCAGTGGTACTGTTTAATAATTCATACATCTTTAAAGGCTTGCTCTGTAAAGGTATAAAACCCTGTCTTTAAAATAAAAAACTGATATTTGACACAATTCATTATTTGAATTATTTTTATTTATAAATTTCTTTTAATTATTGAAAAGATTCAGGACAATTCTTCTGAACTAGTGTCTTAAAATTTTTTATGACAATTATATGAATGGACATAGTCTTGCTTTGCTATAATTGAAATAGTATTGAGTTTGCAATAGAGAGAATAAGGTGTTTTCCTTCTTACTAAAAACCTATTTGATACATAAACACAATTTTTTATTTGTTTTTGCAGATTCCCTTCAAGCTCAGCTTATAAATATGGGTGTAATTCCTACCTTAGTGAAATTACTGGGCATCCACTGCCAAAATGCAGCTCTTACAGAAATGTGTCTTGTTGCATTCGGCAATTTAGCAGAACTTGGTAAGTCCTATTCATGAACCACTGAAGTAATTAACTTATTAATGCATTTAAAAGTGTTTAGATATTAACAATATTGAAATCCATTTAGATTATATTAGGGTTTTTTTTAAACATTATAGATATTGGCTTCAATGTGTAAAAATGTAGATTCAGTTTTATCTTCTGAATGTATTATTTCAAATCAAGAACTATGGCCCTGATTGCTGTGGCTTAATTTCTTGGGCATCATTCCGCAAAACGAAGGGTCATGGGTTTAATTCCTGGTCATGGCACATGGCGGCATTGCGGGTTCGGTGTGCTGTTGGAATGCATGCTAGAGGCAACTGATTAATGTTTCTCTCTCACATCAATCTTTCTCTCCCTCTCTTCCTCCCTCCCTTCCCCTCTCTCTAAAATCAAATAAGTGAAATCTTTTAAAAAAACAAAAAAATTTTGAGAGCTACGTTGCCTCCCTAATTTATGTATTGAAGTTTAAATTTTACATTTGTATATTATTTAATAGAGTTGAACATTTGAAATGATCTCCCCTTGACGTTAGTATTTTTACATGGGAGTGGTCTTAAAATCAAGTAATTGTATTCCCAGGGCAGAAATTAAGGACTTCATAATTTATTACGTTATCAGGTAAAAAGGAACCTAGCAGACTATGGTTCTTCCTCCTCATTTTACAAAAATCCCTAAAAATAATAGGAGACCTTTTTTAAAAATATTCATCAGAGGATGTGTTCATTGTTTTGAGAGAATGAGAGAGGGAGAGAAACAGATGTGAAAAAGAAACATTGATTGGTTGCCTCCCGTACATACCCTGACCGGGGAATCAAACCTGCAACCTATGTATGTGCCCTGACCGGGAATCAAACCCACCACCCTTTCCTATGTGGGATGATGCTCCAACCAACTGAGCCACCCAGGAAGGGTGTTAGGAGACTTTTTCATAAGAAGAGGTTTGTAAGAGTACTAGACAGATTTATGAGAAATCCTTGAAAATCCGAAAGCAAGCAAAAACAGACCAGTGCTGGAAACAGTCCAGTCATGACAGAGAACTAATGACCCCAGCTACCCCCATCTCTTTTCTCTGATTTTTCTCTGTATCATTTATAGTAAGTACCCTTCTCTTCTCCCATGATTCTTGACAGAAGAAATTAGAACTCCTGATCTGAATCTTCTGCACAACAACTATGTTCATAAGTTGTTTATTATGGGAACAGTGAAACCAAATGCTGTTTTGTCATAGCTAAACATAATAGCTACAACAAAAAATAAATCTATTAATTAGACTCATTTTATAAATAAACAGAAACACCAGTCCTGACTGGTGTGGCTCAGGGGATTGAGTGCCGGCTTGTGAACCAAAGGGTCACTGGTTTGATTTCCATTCTAGGGTACGTGCCTGGATTGCCAGCCAGGTCCCCAGTAGGGGGTGTGCGAGAGGCAACCACACATTTATGTTTCTCTCCTCCTTTCTCCCTCACTTCCACTTTCTAAAAATAAATAAATAAATAAAATCTTTAAAATAAACAAACAGAAACCCCAGAACTCTAAACTTGGATTTTCTAACTGAAAGTTCATGTCACACTACACATTAAAATCTCAATTTCAGTACTTTACTTTTGCTTTGACATCAACTTTAGAGATTATCACAGTTGTTTTAAAAGTCATTCTTTTTCAGTGGGTCACCTATTTGTATTTATGAGTATTTCTTTTCCTCTGCTTTTCTTCTTTTTCCTACTCTCTTGTTATTTCCATCATTCATGTTAAGACTGAGGATGAAAGAACATTTATTTACTGTGTAGAAGTTATTATTTTCCATTAAAATGGAATATAGGAGTTTGTGTTCATCATAGTTTGTAGAAATAAAACCAATTATGTAATAATCTCTGAAAATGTCAAATCTTTGTAACAGAAACATAAACAAACATTTAATATGTGTTACCTCTATATAAAGATGTCAGGATTTGTTTGGAACATTGCATAGAGCACTTAAATTCAACCACATCTCCCTGATCAATTTTTAAAAAAGGATATGTACCCAATCCAGCCTAGTCCAGCCTAGTTTCATACTCCATTCCCAGATGTTACTGCCCTTTCCCTGTTTGGAGGAAAAAAAGGTAAAAGAGAAAAATTAGTTTTTTAAAGAGTTTATATCATCACAAATCTGTTATGCCCATGTAACATCCAGGTTATACATCAACACCAAAGTAGACCATGGTTTTAGAGTTTTAGAATTTTAGAATGTATGTTTTGAGTCTGTTATGCCTATGTAATAGCTATTTATACATCAGCACCAAAATAGTACATGTACATCCCCAAATACTTATCTTTTCACTGAGCTTTATTGCTCATGAGTTAACAAGTCACATACTATTATTTTTATTGACACTAATAAATATCAAGTTCATATCACATTCCTGGTAGTATGAGTATAGAATTCTATGATAATTTCATATAACTCAACTACGTAATTTTCTAGATTGGAAGGGTCTGTCAAATGTCTAGCCTAATGGGTGAAAATAGACCCAGTCCATGACATATCAGTGTGAAATTTTAGAATAATGGGAACAGATGTTGCACACAAAAGATTGTGAATCAATACCCATCAAATGTCTTAAACAACACTAGCAGCAGGAGAAAATGTAACAATGAAGATATTGCCATACATGAATATCTCAGAAAATTGATATACTTAATACCTTTCCTTTGGAAATGACTGGAAGATGTATTATGTCAGAACAAGGAATTTAAATTACGAAGGAAGACAGCACAAAAATCTGGAAATAAGATGTTCAACAGGAAAACAGAAATTCCTGGTAATATGGTGACATGAGAACCCCAAATGGTCTATTTTCAAAGAGCAACCAGTCCAGATTGGGACAGTCCAGAAGGCTGCTGGAGTCAGGGTTGGGGGAATTCTTATAGGAGATGAAATTGATTGAATACCCAAGGTAAATGAGCTTAATAAGTGATGATTAGATAACTGATAGGGATTTTGGAGTTTAATTAATGATGAGTGTGTAGAAAACTTGGCAAATGAAAAAATAGTAATTCCAGGGAAAATGGAATAGTATATTAATAGAATACTAATAATTAATATAACCAAAATTACACTATAATTACACTGAGAATGTAGAAGGGTACAATAGAAACAGGGAAAAAAGAAAGAGCTAATGCTTCATCTTTTGTAGTAGAAAGTCCATCAAAAAGTGGCAATACAAATGTTATTTAAAGATGTAGGGGTAAATACCAGTGAATTAGCTAAAGAGCTTTATGTGCTTGCTTCTGAGGGAGGAGAAATAGGGAAGGAGGCCTGTATTCTGCTGGTAATACAAGTATTAGTACTAACTCACTCTTGAAACTCATGTATAATTTTGATAAAAATAAGTCCTTTGAAAATGAGGCTTCTGGCTGAAGGTCTATTAAGGATCCATGGCATTTAATTAAAATATAATGTCCAAATCATACTTCATGTTGCCTTTTCTCTGTATCCACCTGTAAGATAAGTACAAATTTTGTTCTTTTATGCCTGTATTAATCATAGTGTACTGTTTCCTTGTGTTGGCAAATGGCCTGCATTACTTAGCAGATTTCTGTTTCTTCTTTCTCCTTTAAAGTTGAATTTGCAACATTTCTTTTTCATTTTGATAGAACAGAACTCTTCTATTAATTCTTCATTCAGTTGCACATTCATTTAATCAATAAGTTTCTTTTGAACACCTGCCATGTACTGGACACTCTACTGTACACCGTGTTTCTTATAGTTAAAATAATGCACACTATCCCGGCTGTCAAGGAGCGTACATCTAGCTTAGTCAGTGAGATGAAATTTTTAAAATGAATTGACAAATAAGCATGTCCCTATAAATTGTGATAATTGCTAGTATGAGAAATTAATGAAGTGAGGTGAGGGACTAATTTAAATTAGAAACATAAACTCTAGTGGGAAAGAGCATTTTCAGACAGTCAAGATTATAAAATGTTTCTGTCCTGTACTCAGTAAATAGTAACTTTCTCAGGAAGCTGCTGGAGGATGCCTTCACCAAATCAAAACAAGTGAAGGTGAAAGGTCATATTTAATAGAATATCTAATACAGGAAGGAAAAGAAAGGATCTATCAAAATAATTAGTAAGAGAAATTCCAGGATGTCAGCTGTACCCCCAAAAAAGAGAGCAAGCAATCTAAATTAAATTCCTTCAGAATTCTTTGAGAGAACCATCTAGATAATTAATAGGATATCTGATGTAGCAAAAGAAATTGAGAACTGGAGAAAAATGGAAATAGATTCTAGTTGTACTTTGGAGGCAGATTGTGGTAGACTTTGGTAATCTGTTGGATGTAGGGTTGAATGAGAATAAGCAAGCAGTGACTACCAGGTTTCTACTCCTACATAGATGGATAAATAGTGTTCATTTACCAGTTAAGGAAGTCTGGAGGAAGAACAGAAAGCAAGGTAATATCAAAAGTCCATTTTAGACATTGAGTTTGAATGCAAGAGATATTTAAATGGAGATGTCAAATGGCCTGTTAAATAGCCTGGAGTCCAGAAGAATGCTAGAGATATGATTGTGTAAATGCTGTTTTGATACAGTGCTAGGAATTAGATTGCCTAGGGTGAAACCGAAAAGGTAAGAAAGCAGAGGATCAAGTCCCAAGGAACTGGAATTTGGAAAAGGAGAAACAAACAAAGGAAATTTCAGAGAGTAGATGTGGGCCAATACTAGTTTGAAGTGGGTTTAGGAATACATGTGAGTTAAGAAAATAGAGCGAATGTATAGAAACAGTGCTATCAAGAAAGTTGTTTCTGAAAGTGAACAGAGATTGGATTATATTTGAAGAAAAGTAGAATAGAGGGAAGGTGTTTGTTTTTTATATTGCTTTTTTTAAGTGAGAAATATTAATGCATATATAAATGCTGATAGGGAAGCTCTGGAGTAAGGAGGAGAGATTGGAGATACAAAAGAGGCAAGAAGGAATGAGACCCCAAGTACATGAGAAGAATTAGACTTTTAATAGTAGGCATGTCCAGATCAGTGCAAAAGCACACACTTTAATAATACAAAGATAAGCCCTGGCTGTTGTGGGCCAGTGGATTGAGTGCTGGCCTGCGAATCAAAGGGTTGCCAGTTCGATTCCCAGTCAGGGCATATGCCTGGGCTGTGGGCCAGATCCCCAGTAAGGGGCAAATGAGTGGCAACCACACACTGATGTTTCTCTCTCTCTTTCTCCCTCCTCTCCCCGCTGTCTAAAAACAAATAAATAAAATCTTTAAAAATAATAATAATGATACAAAGATAAGTCACCTTTAAATGTGTAAGATTCTGTCTATTCAGAGTAATTTTTCTTCTTTGACTAAAATCCTTAAAACTGAATTTATAACTTAGCAATTTTATTGTTGCTATGGTTACCTATATGTAATAGTAATGAAAATTTTTATAGCCTTGAATATAAATGAGTTAGAACATTTTCTTTAAAGGCTTGGACATTTTTCCTTTACAACGGCATTAAAAAATGGATTTCATTCTTCCTGTATTTGAAGTTTATATTCATCAGTAATTGTATAAAATGATCATGTATTGAAAAAAATAGGAAATAATTTCTGTGTTTGTTTACTTACCCTAAGTTTTTCTTTTTTTTTTTTTTTCTTGCAGAGTCCAGTAAAGAACAGTTTGCCAGTACAAACATTGCTGAAGAGTTGGTAAAACTCTTCAAAAAACAAATAGAACATGATAAGAGGGAAATGATTTTTGAAGTTCTTGCTCCATTAGCAGAAAATGGTAAGGAAATAAATGCACCTCTTGATTTTTTTTTTATCATGTAGGCCTTTTCCATTTTTCTAATATTACTTAATTGCCAGCTATTTAATTGTTTTATTAATGATATGTTTTATTTTGGATACCTCTAACTTCAGCTTCATTAGCTACTTCATAACTATGAGGGGAACCCAATAAAACCAGAATCTATTTACAAAAAAAAGTATTTATTCTTACATATTTAAACTTCACTCATCTTCAAGGCACTCTCCATTTGATGCAATACACCTATCAAGACTTTTTTTTCCCACTGCTCAAAACAGATTTTGTACTCATCAATTTTGGTGCCTTTTAGTACTTCTGCCAGTTTTTTTTGTTTGTTTGTTTGTTTAACCTCTTCCACAGCAGCAAAAATTCCCTTTGAGGACTTTTTTCATCTGGGGAAACAAAAAAGGTTGTTCAGGGTGATAATCAGATGAATAGGGAGGGTGGGGCACAGGGATCATGCTGTTTTTGGTCAAAAACTGCTGAACACTCAGAGCAGTGTGGGTAGGTGTGCTTATCATGAAATGAGCAAAGGCATTGAAAGAGTCTTCAAAAAAATATTCACTGGAGATGAATACAGCCTCTCACCACAATGCCAGCTGGTACACTGGTACAAATGGGTTCCTGTGCTACAAGGGACCCACCCTCCAGAAGATAATTCAGGGGTTTTTTTGTGGGGGGGGGTCCCCTGTCGTATATATACATTGGTCAAAGATACTGTCCAAGATCCTTTGACTGTAAAATGTTGGCAAAGATGGTTCTGTAGCTTGCACATTGTTATGCCAATCTGGAAAAAGGCAGCTGAGTGGCTGAACTCCAGTTATGTACCCTTTCAGAGCAAAGAGGATAAAAGTTGGAGTTCAAGCCTGTCAACAGTATGGACACTGGTAAACTACTCCCTTGTCTGGGGGAAAGAAAATTTTAAGGGACACACCCTGGGAATAAGAGTGAACCAGAGTAAATAAACCATCCCATATAAATAATTTTTCAAATACAGTGTCTAGCTCATAATCAGAGAGGACCAGACACACGAGGAGACAAGACATTGTAAGCATGAACCAGCACTAAGAACAGGCAACAGCAGCAAATCTTCTGATACTGGAATTATTAGACATTGACTCAAAACAGGTATGCGTATTATGTTCAAAGAGTTAAAAGCAAGCTTGAAAAATTTAGAAGGAAAATGAAAACTATATATAAAAAAATGACTTGGCAGATTTGAACAAAACAATTGGAAATTCCTATATTGAAAAATACAACCCACATTAGGAACCTAATGGATGAATTTAATGGCAGAGTAAATGTAGCTGAGCTAGAGAACCAGTGAACTAAAAGGTAGATTGAAGGGAAATGCAGAAAGAAAAGAATCAATATACATAAAGCAGAGTAAGAGGTATAGAGAATAAAATAAGCAGCTTTCATATACATTTTTTGGAGTCCCCAAAAGGGTGGGAGGAGGGTAGTTAATAGGATAGATTTAAAGAAATTTTGGTAGAGAATTTATCAGAAATTATGAAAGAAAACAGATTCAAGAAGCCAAGTGAATGTAAAATGAGAAAAAAAATTCCATCTAGATACATCATATTGAAATTGTAGAAAAACAATGACAAAAGTCTTAAAGTATTCAGAAGAAAAAATTGTTTATCTTAAAAGGGGCAACAGTTCAACTGACAGCTAACTTCTCAACCACAGTGAAAGCCAGATGACAGTGAAACACCATCTTTTATGCACTTAAAGAAAATAATGCCACTCTAGAATTCTAAACCTAGTGGAATACCCTTCAAAACTGAAGGCAAACTAAAGGTATTTTCAGATGACAAACTGAGAAAGTCCACCTATACTCTCACTATAAAGGAAATTATAATGGTGTTTGTCAGGAGGAAAATGCTTTCAGAAGGAAGGTTCTAGATGCCCGGGAGACTAAAGAGAGGAATACTAGTAAATTCACAGGTAAATTCCATGAGCATTGAATATATAAAATAACAAAATTTATGACGAGGTTTAAAATACATATGAAGTCTTTCCAGCAAAAGTGCAGTCGTTGTTAATATGAGAACAGTTTGAGCGACACTGGTGTAACCTGGCAGCCAAGGAGAGTGGACTGGAATGCACATGCATGAACCATGACGACTTCACTGTACTAGTCTGTGCGGACAGTAGATGCCACTGAGTGGGCATGTGTGCTGTGTGGCTGTTGCATTCAAAATGACTGAGCGAGTAGAGCAACAAATTTGCATCAAAAAAATTCATCAAAATTAGATTGCTAGCCAAAACAAAAACAAAAACAAAACACTGTATTACTATCTATGAGCAAAGGAAAGTTAGAAAATGCATACTTTGGAAACTTCAATGCTGTAATGATGTTATATCTTCCCATCTTGACCTATAGTCTCAATGAAGTTCTAACCAAAATCCCAAAAGACAAGGAATAGAAAAGATACTGTGAAAGACAGCAAGGTAGCAGAACTGTTTTACTGCATAACAATAATTAAACTTTTTTTGTCAGATAAAACTATAGTAATTAAAGGACAGTGTGGTATGTTGGTACAAGAATGGACAAGAAGACCAATAGGATAGCTCAGAAATAAATAGATACATCAATAGATGCATATTTTATTAGGGAGTAAAAAAGAAGTCGCTATAAAATAGTATGAGAAGGACAGTTTCAATAAACAGTACTGGGAATATGGAAAAAAATACAATTGGAGAGACATATATACCCCCTGCATATTATATTTAAAAGATTAATTTCAAGTACATTATTAATGTAAATGTTAAAGTTAAAACAAGAAAGTTTCTCTTAAAGGTAGGAGGATATCATCATAGCCTTGGAATACAGAAAGTTAACCTTAGGTCACAAAAAGCTCTTAACAATAAAGTAAAACGAGTGATCAATTTGATTATTTTAGCAGTAAAACCTTCCATTTCTCAAGAAACCATTAAGAGTAAAAAGGAGCACAGTGGGTGAGAGAAATATTTACAATACATATAACCAAGAGAAGGCTTATATGTACAATATGTAAAAACTTCCACGAATCATTAGGAAAAATGTGTAAAAGATTTGACAAGATAAAATCCAAATGGCCAATAGACACATAAAAAATATGCTCAAGTCATTAGTAATCAGGGAATGCAAAATAAAATACTATATACTCATTAGGAGGTCTGACAATAGCAAGTGTTGATGAAGGGGTGTGGCAGTGGAAATTTGTGTCAGTTGCAGGCGGGGTGTAAACTGGTTCACTTTGGAAAACAGAATCTACTGAGTTGGAGGTATGCATTCCCTATGGTCTAGCAATTCCACACTTAGGAATATATCCAGAAATATATACACCAGGAACCATTACAGGAATGTTCATAGCACCATTATTTATAAATTATGAAAAATTGTTACAAGTCATATCTATTAAGAGTAGAATAAATAAATCATAGTAATTTATATAATGTGAAAATACATAATTAAGAAGAGAAATGAAGATATTTAAAACCAGTAGTGTAGATGAATCTTATTAACTTACGAAAAGGAAAAAGTCAACACTGAAAAATATATATTGTAAGATTCCATTTATATAAAGTTGAAAACAAGGTAAAATTGTAGTTTTTAGAAGTGATTATTTGGTGAAACAATAAAGTATGGACATAATTACCATAAAAGACATAGAAGTGATTTGAAAGAGATGGAAGGAGGGATTTGTTAAAAGAAAAGGGAATGCACAGAGGGGTTCCCTGGGTTGTTGACAATGAATTTTTTTATTTAGGTGGTAGTTACATGATTATTTGCTTGTCAGTAATTAAGGGCATATTTTATGCAGTTTTCTGCATTTGTGGGATTTTTTACCATTTAGAAAAGATTTTTAAATACATACATATGTATATGTATATGTATGGATACATACATATATACACATACAGCTTGGGGATAAAGATAGTTGTCCTTGGGTGGAATGATGATGACAGGTATGTGCTGGGCTATCTGCTGTAGCAGAATGCCTTGCTAATCCTCCTAATTAAGGCTATTTAAATCTCCCATATATATGTAATTTCAGTCAAACCATGAGAGAAGAGATCTGTAAACTTTAATCTTGACACATTTTTAGTTTCCTAAATGCCTTAGAGCCTGTTCTTCAGGGAAAAATTTGTTTTTCATCTCATTTGGTAGTTTGGCTGAATGAAATTTTTATGATGACCTCCAGTCAATTTTTATGCCAAGTTACCTGTAACCAGCTTTGCAATGTTCCAAAATAACAATGTTTTTATTTCTTTCTTGTTTCTCCTCCACCACCTTCACTTCTCTTTTATAATTGTGTGGTAGATTGAATGATACCTTTGAAAACTTACTTCTGGACTGTCCTTGGTTTTGCTTATATGCAAAGGAAAGTGATTCCAACATTTCAGTTAGGGTTTTGTATAATTCAGGATTTCTTAGTATTTTTAAGACTTTTTATCATAGCTTTCAACTCTAGTCACAGCACGTTTCTAAACCCTAATATTCTGTAACCAAGGAAACGCCCTACTTTCAGCGTGGCACAGTGCAAATGTACCTTTTAAAAAAATATTCCAGGTTGAATATTCTGTATATTCTGAGATAACATTCTAAAGATCAGTGGCCCCTTGTGGTTTAAAAAAACAAACAAACACCTAAATTATTACACATTAAAATTACCAGAAAGAAAAAGGCTTAAGTATTAAAAAAAGGCTTTGTTTCTCCCAAATAACAACCCAAAACTACCATTGCTGTAGATGTGTGCATATACAGCTTAGAGAAACCAATAACTAAAATAAAATCCAACTGAAAAATAAAACAACTTTAAAAATTCTGTGTGGCAAATGTATTTCTAAGGTCAGTTGTCAACATTTATTTTAAATGGTATTAGGTATACCCAAAGCATTTAGGTAGGCCAGTTTAGGTTAAAAAACAAAAGCAAATGAGTTATATATAACATCTACTCTAATGGAAGAGACAGATATGGATACAGATATAAAATCTTCAATGATGTAAGTTCTATAATGAAATAATATTTAAGTTATTAGCATAGTACAAACAAAACTGATACAAAATGAGAGTAAAATTTGCTATGAAGATAATTTTTCAAAATGTAACTGGGACGTAAGTTCTCTCTCTAAAATTCCACATATTGTTGGTTTCCTACAAGAAAGCTTGAAAGTTATTTTTCTCTTTCACCTTTTATTATGGGAATTTTAAAACTAACTCAGGTATACAGAGAATATAGTATAATGATCCACTATATATCCATCATCCAAGAAAGTTTCAAATTAATGAAAACCTCAAGCTTTTTTAAAAAACATGACTTAAAATTCTGAAAATTATAGTTCTATTAACTGCCCTAGAAAGATAACATACAAATATGAATCCAAATATAGTTGTGATATAGTTTAAAATTTACTAATAGCTTTTTACTTTTAAATAACTTTGTATTCAGACTACATTAATGGACATATTTTAACTTTTTGTGACAGGTATCTGTGTTTTATTTTAAACAATGTGGGATATCCAGTAGTATTGGCTTTTAAACATGAGCATAACTGGAATAAGAGTGGAGTGGTATTACTTACCTTCAGAATTGAGAATCAGTTTGTTTAGGAGCTGCCAGACATTGTGAAATGTAACATAATTTGAAACAAAAATGAAATAAAATGTTTCTGTATTTTGGCTGTACTGTCAGACACTCTTTTGAAACTCAAATCTTCAAAGGTGTGTATTATCTCAATCATGCATTTTCTTGGTTTCTTTCTTCATAATTGGTTACCATCTCAAGTTTTGGTTATTTTGTTCACATTATTCTTTAGATGCTATTAAACTACAGCTGGTTGAAGCAGGCTTGGTAGAATGTCTACTAGAGATCGTTCAACAGAAAGTGGATAGTGACAAAGAGGATGATATTGCTGAGCTCAAAACTGCTTCAGATCTAATGGTTTTATTACTTCTTGGAGGTGAGTTGTAAAGTATACCAACCAAAGAACATGGATGTCATATTCTTAAAAATTTATTGTTTCTTTTGTAAACACTGTATCAGGCATTTTCTTGTTTTCCTATCTCATTCAATCCTGTTGATGTAGTGATTTTGAAATCTTAAACATGTGGGAAGGACTAGAGATAATAAACATGGAAAAGAGGAGTCTTCATTGCCATCCATATCTAAAGAGCTGTCATATAGAAGAGACAGCTATGGCACCCAAGGACTAAAAGCCAGATGGTTGTTTGGGACTTTAGACTAGAAAAATTCTCAAGTCTTGTCCAGCCTCTACTAAAAATTTATAACAAAAAGAGTCACTATTTTTCCCCTTATAAGTTACACAGTTTTTTGAGTTGGGTATTCACTTTGATATACAGATTTGTTCAGAATTATTCTCCTCTTATCTGTTTGTTTTATTTAACTCCAGATGAATCCATGCAAAAATTATTTGAAGGAGGAAAAGGTAATGTGTTTCAAAGGGTGCTGTCCTGGATTCCATCAAATAACCACCAGCTACAGCTCGCTGGAGCATTGGCAATTGCAAATTTTGCAAGAAATGGTAAGCATAGTGTTTTATTTTTAAAAGTCAGACGTTCTTTATTTTTCTTTGACATTACATGTACAAAATTATAAGTGGTATGTATATGTACTGCTACCATAATCTTTCAGAGATCTGAAATATTTATAGTGACTTTCCTAACAAATTACATATTTTATGCAATTCAGCTAAGGACTGGTAGTTTAAAGGTCACGAACAATAATCATGAAGTCCTTTGAATACTCTGCACTTCAAAGATGGAATACACTGTTTTAATAAACATCTGCTCTGGGAGAATATTCTCTCTTGCCTGGTGATTTTATTTTGGATTTAATAATCTGAGTTTTCATTGTAGAGTTTATTGTGCCTTAATGCATACTTTTATACCTACAAAACTTAAGTGGGGCTAATGCTCTGGTTTAGGGAAGAATATTTAATGTAGCTCAATATTTCAGAGGCATCAGACTACCATATTTATTTCTGAAGTATGGCACTCCTACTATTATTAGTCTAGAAACTCATGCTGTGTCTAGGAAATGTGGGTTGCTTTTGTCTTTAGTATGAATTGTTGTTATAATAGGGGACATTCCATTTTCACTCCATTCTTTAGGGGGACCATCACTAACTCCTTAATGATGGAATTAAGACTAGCAAAATACTGATAATTGTCGAAGCCAAATGTGGGGTACATATTGGTTCATTTTAATATTCTCTTTGTTTTATAAATGTTTCAAAAATACTATCATTGAAAAATAATTTAAGTATCAGCTATGATAAGAGAATGTAAAATACTGTCTCTGTAACATTGGCAGAACTCTCGCGTACTTCACTCTTGATGGACATTTTAAGCATATCGTTTCTACTTATTCATCTTCTGATATATTATCAATTTGAGGTAGAGAGTTTTCTTATTTTTAATATTTTATCTATTTTAAGAATCTTATAATCAGACTTCTTACTTGGTTAAAAAAAAAGCTATAAATCTGATGGGAGAGTTAGAATTCATTCTATTTTCTGTGGCTCCATTTTCACTAATGTAGATAATGGCATCGGAATTACAAAATATTTATTGATGTTTGCACAGAGGATGAAAAAATGCTGTCTTTGTCTTGTGCAGATGGAAATTGTATCCATATGGTAGACAATGGAATTGTAGAAAAACTTACGGATTTACTGGACAGACATGTAGAAGATGGAAATGTAACAGTACAGCATGCAGCACTAAGTGCCCTCAGAAACCTGGCCATTCCAGGTAAGACTGAAGAACGAAAGGCAAGTATGTAAGAAATAAAATAATATTGTTTTGGTAAGATATTTACTTTATGTGATTTGTAGACCTGTCCTGACTATGGAAAAAAAAAGTCTTCAAATTGTTAACATTTTTTACTGGTCAATGGAGATAATATGTTAAATTAGTTTTCTGTGACTATTTACAAGCATGATCTTTTCCTTTGTTCAGATCATTCAAATAATTCTATGAACTCCTAAGATTTTTATCATACTTTTATAGTTAAGCTTTTTAAAGCATCCTCAGTTTAGGTAAGATAATGGCATCAATTAACAGTCCCTCCTAAAGAATGACTTTTAAAGTTATTTCTTTTGCCCTTCAAGCAGACATACAGTTTTTTAAAACAGCTGAGGGGAGGGGGGTATAAAGGGACTAAATGGTAATGGGAAAAATAATACAATAAAGATTAAGTCTTTAAAAATAGGCCTAATGTGTCCTTTTTGGATTAAAAGCTTTTGAGCTGTGAAATTACATTATCATGGGAAATAATATAGGAGATGATTTAAACTATTCTTTTATTCTACTTTCTAAAAATAAATTTCTGGTAGGTGAAATAGCATAACTATATGAAGGTATAATCTATATGAAATTAGTTTGGTTCATATAGCAGATGATGTTTATTAACATCTATATTAACACAGTGGGGTCAAGAACAGAGGTAAAAAGAACATTAAGTAAAATTGAGGAAGTGTGTTTTTCATAAATAAGAAAGCAACATTGTCAGATATCCTTTATAAATTATTTAAGTATTTTGAGGTTAAGTTTGATTGTATATGTTACACTCCTATTAAACAAACAAGATACAAGGGGGTTTTTTTAATAGAAAGATATAAAACATAAGGCCTTAAAGATAACGAGACCCTCAATAAATTTGCATTGAATGGAATAATTATCATCAAGAATGCTAACAGCATTTTAACCATAGTCTCTTTTCTCTCTCTCTCTCTAGTTGTAAATAAAGCAAAGATGTTATCAGCTGGGGTCACAGAGGCAGTTTTGAAATTCCTTAAATCCGAAATGCCCCCAGTTCAGTTCAAACTTCTGGGGACGTTAAGAATGTTAATAGATGCACAAGGTAAAAGAAATGCTTTCTCGTGGTGCATATTTGGTATCATAGTCTCAATGTGCCTCTAGTTGAAAAAGGACTTGTTTTTAGCTTTCAGAATTATGTAATCATAAAGGTAAGTAACAAATAAAGTCAAACAGACTCTATTTGGGTTTTAGAACCCATTTATTATTTCCTATGCTTGTTATAATTGACTTTAAATGGAAACTGTATTGCACCTCTATTAGTATGTATAATCCTAGCTTCAGGTTGATTTATTGGCAGTTCGTAAGGGTTTTTGTTGTAGCATTCCATACCCATTTTTACCACTGTTTCAAAATCATCATGTTTCAATACAGTGACAATTTTTTTTAATTTGTTTTGCAAACAGAGAGATCATTTTTCTGTGTACAGAAACAGCAATTAAAACCACTCCTTGGAATGAATTATGTATATTTACTTCTGAATTCTAAAAACCTTTCTCTATATTAATTCCTTAGAGTCCTTCTAAAATCCCTTTGTTATAGTTTGACAGAGTACTTAGTAACAGACTGAGGCTGACGTGAAGGAATATGAAGTTGCTTATTTTTGTATTTTGTATGGAAGTCCACAACTTTATAGGAAAGGCTAAATAGTCCATTAGATATGAAGTACTGTGTTTGCAGTTCTTTTTTTTTTTCAAATATGCCAAAGAATTATTAACATAAGACTTCCAGACTACAAAAGAGTTATACAGAAAAGCTGGAAAAGAAGTCATCAGAATAAGCATGTAGATCATCAGTATTTGCAGTAGGATATACCAAAGCAAGTGTGAAAAGGCACATTCACACAAAATATGTCTAACTTGAAGACGTCAGAAACGCAGGCCAAAAATAAAGGTGCTGATTAAAATACAAAGATTTGCAATGTCGAAGAAGAGCTACTTTTCAGGGAGGGAGGGAGGTAGCTACAGAAGTCTTGCTAACATTTGAGTGTCACAAATGAAGACAACCTCTTGCTGCCCACAAAACCAGATGATCTTAATGGTTGCACGTGAAGATGCTTCAGTGCCAGAGAGATGAAATTTAGTGGGGGGACAAAAGCAGTCTAGTTGAAATTATATACAGCAAGGGCTTAGAGAGTTAAATGTAATAATACACAGAAAAATCAGGCAGTGTTGTTAGCAATATCTCCCTTCCGTACAAAGAATTATAACAAGAGTTATAAGAGACATTATCGCCTTCAGAGTTAAGTTAGGGTTTCTAAATAGGATTAAGGTCATGTTTGCAATTCTTGCTTTAATAAAATTGTGTTTTGTTTCTTAAGCATGTAATTTTCTTTTACACTGTTATGTCTTTACCAGTTATTTCAGTTGATTGCCTATCAGTGATTCATTCCTTGGTGGTTTACCTTCTTTCCTATAGCAGAAGCTGCTGAACAACTGGGAAAGAATGTTAAGTTAGTGGAGCGTTTGGTTGAATGGTGTGAAGCCAAAGATCATGCTGGTGTGATGGGGGAGTCAAACAGACTGCTCTCTGCCCTTATACGACACAGTAAATCAAAAGTAAGTTCCAGAGGAAACCATTCACTAAAAACATTTGAGTGGCCTTTTTGTATTTATATATAAATAAATTAATCAGATTCTGAAAAAAATAATTGAAGATTGAACTTTTTTGTTTCATGCTGTACCATAATAGTTAAGAGTAAGACTTTGGAATCAAACCAAAATAAGTTCAAATTTTATTTTCACTATTTACTTGGTCAAGTGTCTTCACATCTGAGTATCTTAATACATAAAAATTAAGATAATACCTACGTGAGAGTGCTGTGAGTATGATTCAATGAGATTTTGTGTGCAGAGTACGTAGTTGGTACCTAGGACGTGGTAAGCATTCAGTAAATGGAGGTTGCTGCTCTTGCTGTTACTATTATTTTTACCACCACTAACCACCACCATTACCAGTATCATTGTCAAACCTGTGTGCTGGGCACTAACCAAGCTACCTACTGATACTTAGAAACTAAATGATACCTGGGTAGTATTTGATGCACAAAACTCACAAAATTGGACAAAAATCCATTCTCATGGCAGTGTCCCACTTTTTAAAAAGTCTTTGGCACATGATTGATAACCTATGAATATTTGTTGAGTGAATGAGTACATGAACAAATAAATATTTTAAGGAACAAAATAATGAAACCCCAGGCCAGCAGTTCAGCCACTGATTTAGTGTCTAGATTATATACCTTTTGTTTTTTTATAACTTTTTTTCTAAGGTGAGCCTTTTGACCATTTTACTTGTGTACATCTGCACAGAGACCAACTGTGTCTGGGTGTCATGGGAGGGGTGATGTTTTAGAGGTTAACCTGGAATGTCTTAGGAGGGGAAGGGGAAGATTCACTGATGAATTCAGTACACAAACTTCTGCATAGACTACAGATATAAAGAACAAGGTCCTGGATTTGAATCTTGGCTTCTTAACCACTTAATCACTGACTTTGGACAAATTTCATAACTTAATCTGAGCTTCAGTTTCCTCATCTATAAATCAAAGATAATATCTAGCTAATGAGATTTTCTGTGAAGATAAAAATGGGCTACTATCTATAAGCCACCCAGTACAATGTCGAATGTATAGTTTTTGCTCCGTAAAGCTTTCACTATTCTCTTTTGTCATGGGACACAAGTACAACGCTTCATTTATTTTTCATCCCCCACTCTATCAAGCAAAGCAACTCCATACAGTAGCTTTTTAATAACTATTGAAGTGGGAGGAGAGAGGGCAGGCATTTTTTTTAGTATATTTTATTGATTATGCTGTTAGAGTTGTCCCAGTTTTTCCCCCTTTACCCCTCCACCACCCAGTATCGCCCTTTCCTCTAGCGTTCCCCACCTTAGTTCATGTCCATGGGTCATGCATATAAGCTCTTTGGCTTCTCCATTTCCAAGACTCTTCTTAACATTCCCCTATCTATTTTGTACCTATCAATTATGCTTCTTAATCCATGCACCTTTTCACCCAATCTCCCCCTCCCACCACCCCCCAGCTGATAATCCTCCATGTGATCTCCATTTCTATTATTCTTTTCCTGTTCTGGTTGTTTGCTTAGTTTGTTTTTGTCTTTTTAGATTCAGTTTTTGATTGCTGTGAGTTTGTTTTCATTTTAATGTTCATAGTTTTGATCATCTTTTTCTTAAATAATTCCCTTTAACATTTTACATAATAAGGCTTGGTGATTCCTTTGGCTTTACATTGTCTGGGAAGCACTTTATCTGCCCTTCCATTCTAAATAATAGCTGTGCTCACTAGAGTAATCTTGGCTGTAGGTCCTTGCTTTTCATGACTTTGAATATTTCTTGCCAATCCCTCCTAGCCTTCAAAGTTTCTTTTAAGAAATCAGCTGAGAGTCTCGGGGGAACTCCTTTGTAGGTACCTCTCTGCTTTTCTCTTGCTGCTTTTAAGATTCTCTCTTTGTCTTTAACCTTTGGCATTTTAATTATGATGTGTCTTGGTTGGTGTGGTCCTGTTTGGGTCCAACTTGTTTTGGACTCTCTGTGCTTTCTGGACTAGTATGTCTATTTCCTTCACCAAATTATGGTAGTTTTCTTTCATTATTTTTTCAGATAAGTTTTCAATTTATTATTCTTCCTTTTCTCCTTCTGGCACCCCTATGATTTGGATGTTGGTACACTTAAAGTTGTCCCATATGTTCCGAAGCCTCTCTTCGTTTTTTTGAATTCTTATTTCTTCTTTCTGCTCGGGTTGAATGTTTATTTCTTCCTGTTGTTCCCAATCGTTGATTTGAATTCTGGCTTCCTTCTCTTCATTGTTGGTTCCCTGTATATTTTTCTTTATTTCATTTAGTGTATCCTTCATTTCTGCATTTGTTTTGTGAATGCACTCATTGAGTTCTCTAAGCATCCTCATAACCAGTGTTTTGAACTCTGCAGCTGATGAGTTGGCTACCTCCATTTCATTTAGTTCTTTTTCTGGGGTTTTGTATTGTTCTTTCATTTGGGCCATATTTCTTTGCCTCCTCATTTGGCAGCTGCCCTGTGTTTGTCCCTGTGTATTAGGTAGAGCTGCTTTGACTCCCTGTCTTAGTAGTGTAGTCTATGTAGAAAAGTCACCTGTAAATTTTGTGAGGTAGAGCCTTAATTTCAAGGTGGGGCAACGGAGAGGGCAGGCATTTTAAAAGGAAATACTTAGATATCTGTTGCAGAAATGTGAGACAGAAAAGAAGCTATACTTGGACTTAAGAGGAGGCTATTTGTTTCTAATACACAAATTTCCTTCATTCATTCCCTATCCTTCTGCTGCATTGGACTTTTCAGGATAAATCACAAAATAGAGAATGAAATGACAATCCAGAAGCCTTTCCAGTGTGACTGCATATGTATCTGTTAATCTCTGTAGTCTTTACTCAATAAGGTACTTTGTGATTTTTATTAAAATCTTTACTAATTTTAAGATTCCTGTATCAGTTTCAAATAAGCTGCCACTGAGTAAGCAATATATTGGGAAGCTTTCTTTTAATTAGAAAAGGCTTTAAAAGATAGCCTCTCACTTTCTAAAAAATGTTAGTATGGAAAGACTTATTAGTGCAAGAACATAGCTACCATAAAAACTCAGTACTTGGACCCCATTGATTTAATTAAAATTTTTAAAAAGATTTTATTTATTTACTTAGAGGAGAAGGGGGAGCTAAAGGGAGAGAAACATCAATCTACTGCCTGACCGGGGACCAAACCCACAACCTAGGCACATGCTCTGACCAGGAAATCAAACAGGCGACTTTCCGCTTTGTGTGATGACATCCAACCACACCAGTGAGGGCTGGACTCCATTGATTTAGAATGTTTGATTAAAAATTTAGTCTCAAAACAAACATACCATTTATAAATACTTTTCTTAAAAATTTACATAGGTAGAAGCATAATGGAATCCCTCACTCTAGCAAATTAACTTTTAAAATATTTCTTATTTTTATACCACTGAAGTTAATTCAGGCTACTTAAAATATCTAGCTTACTTCAAATTACTAAAAATAGTGAAAAGTAGCAAAGAAAATTACTTTAAAAATATTCTATAATTGAAACTTTCCACTAAATTATATTTAATCCAAGATTTTTTAGACAAGAAACCCCGGAGATGGAAACAAAAATGGCTGTTAGGAATAAACATGACCATTTTTTCATCCAACCTTTGTTATATAGTCCTACATGTGCTTTTCATGTAATAGCTATAATTATCACAGAAACCTATGAGATAGACACCTACATTATCTCAACATTATCGATAAAGTCACTGAGGTGCAAAGTTGTTCAGTAATTTGCTCAAAGTCAGTGTTGGTGGTAGGATTTATTCAGTCCCTTTGTATGTAATCCAGTTTTGTCAGTTTCAACAAAGGATAAAAGTTGCGCACGTGTGCGCGCACACACACGCACACAAATACTTTACCTGGAGCCTCTGGAGAGCAGTACCTGATGCTGTAATAAAATTTTGGAGAAAAATCGTTGTTGTTACTACAAGTTTTATACTCTTTTGTTGATCCCATGGTGAATTAACATTTGGGTCAGTGTCACTTGTGTTTCTTTGATTTTGTAGCTTCTGGGACTCTATTTCTTAATATGAATTGCAGTGGTCTTTTTCACTTAGGTAATTTAAAGTTGTCATCTTTTGATGAATTTATTTAAAGCTAAAAGCTCTTTCTGTGAAGAAGAAAAATTATTAAATGTAATGATTCATACAGGACACTGTCGGAAAACTACTCAACAATGAACTGATTATAATGCAGTTTCTTTGTGTTTAAAATTAAAGTTTATAATTCTGAGATATTTATGTATTGTAGGATGTAATTAAGACCATTGTACAGAGTGGTGGCATCAAGCACCTAGTTACCATGGCAACTAGTGAACATGTAATAATGCAGAATGAAGCCCTTGTTGCTTTGGCACTAATAGCAGCTTTAGAATTGGGTAAGTACCCTAGTGACAAACTTCTTTTCTCCTATTTTTATATTGAATAAAAGGAAGCACAAGTGTAGCATAGAAGTCAGATAGAAATATGGCTAGAATCATTTACCAGTGTCTGTGTACCTGTATCTGAGTATATGGAAAATAATAGTCTACAGATTGTTACCAGCATTGTCCCTTTTGGTTGTGCTTTTTGGTAACATTTTTTGGGCAATACTTTAAGGTTAGTTTGACTCTTAAATGTTACCTCCAGTTATAAACACTTATGGAATACAGAAAAGGTTTTCAGCTAGCCTCTTAGAGAAATGAAACAATTTTTAGAAGGCACCTGCAAGTTTAGATTTTGCTACTTTTCCGGTGACCCAGACCTTTTCTTCCATCTCTGCTACTAAATTCCCTCTTGCTAATCTATCACCATGGTTTCTGTTGCTTTATAGCATTGCCTTCATTTTAAATTCTCACCTTCTGTGTCACCCTTCTGTGTGTTATTCATTCACAATTCTCAAAAAAAAAACAGTTTAAATAATTCATTTAGTGTCTGTCTTGCAGCATACAGCATCCCCATTCTTCATGAGAAGCTAGTTCATAGACATCTAGCTTATGGGTAGCAACCTTTGTCTTAAGAACCAATCTCTGGTAGTTTCGGGGGACAGTTACTGTCACATGGCCTGTGGTTAAGGCCTGAGGCTGCCTTACACAAAGGAGGACTATACTTAGTGTCCTGTCTAGTTAAAAGTATTTTGTGGAAATACTGTGAACTGATCACCTCTTAATTTTCACTGATGATTTATGCCCATAATTTGCACACTGGGGAAGGTGGACCAACCAGCCCTATCCCAGGAAGGAGAAGACAAAAGATAAACATGGTCGATATATCTTCTTTCAGTGTCAGATTTACTCATATTTGGGGTATGAGAAATTTGGATTTTTGTTCTCTTATAAGGTTGTGAATTTTAAAATAAAATAATGTTTTTAAATCATAAGTGTAAGTAGGATATAAGATTTTTTTAATTTTAAAGGTAGAAGACTTCAAGACAATGCATGGTTACTCTCAGTGACTTTGGTCTATAGCTAGAGAGGCTGTGGAGGTCAGTTTGAGTTCTGGCCGGGCCTGTGATTTCCCACATGGTTGAGCAGATTATATGAGTCAGTCTACAAGTCCATACACCTTTAAAGATGGAAGCTATGATGGAGGAGTGGGAGTTGGTGAGGACATCATCTGCCAAACTGGGTTCATAGCCTAATTTTAAATGGCTTAAAATAATGGAGTATTTTCAGAATATCCTTGATCTCGCAGCCTGGGATGAGTCTGGTTTTGTGCCGGTACTTCCAACAAGCTATAATTTTATCAGCTTCCTGATAGCTGAGCATTTGCCTGAATCTGGTCACCTTTCCAGAGAACTATATGAAATGACAATACATAACTTTTTTTAAAATTGTTATCTAGTGTTTTATAGGCTCCTTGAGCTTAAGATAGCAAAATAAGCCTATATTATGTATATACACTTTGAAAACCATGTCTTCCAGTCTTACTTCCTTACAGGCTATTTGATATTAAGGAGTAATCATTAGAATTTTTGTTAGCATGACTAGCATTAAAGCAACATTTTTAAGAGTTATCTTTTTTTATAGATGATTGTAGATTTAAATGCAGTTGTAAAAAATACAAGAGAAAACCCTTGTATAATTTGCCCAGTTTCTCCCAATAGTAACATTTCACAAAACTATAAATAGTATAAATTCCAACAATTAATATAATTTACCTATCTTATTTATAGATTTTCCCAGTTTTACTTATACTCATTTGTATATATGTTAGGTTTTAGACACTCTTTTTTTACATGTGTAGGTTTGTACCACCTCTCAAGATACTGAATACTTATATTACCACAAGGATCCCTCCATTTATTACTGCACTCACTTACCTTCTACCCCTACCTCCCACACTTTTCCTAAACCCTGGAAACCACTAATCTGCCCTTCATTTCTACATTTTTTTAAATGTTATATAAATAGAATCATACAGTGTGTGACCTTTTGGAATTGGCTACTTTAGCTCAGCATAATTTCTTAAAGAGTCATCAGATTTGTCTTGTGTCTCAGTAGTTTTTTATTGCTAAATAGTAGTCCATGGTATGTACATACCACAATTTGTTTAACCATTTACTTGTTAAAGGACATTTGGGCTAATTCTAGTTTGAGACTTTTAAAAATAAAGCTGCTATATACATTCATGTATAGGTTTTTATGTGAACATAAATTTTCATGTGGCTGGATAAATGCCTAGGAGTACAACCACAGAGTTATGTGGTAACTGCGGTTTAATTATTGAAGAAACTGTCAAACTGTCTTTCAGAGTGGCTATACCACTTTACATTCCCACTACTTCTGTATAAGTGATTGGTTTTTTTCTGCATCTTCACCAACATTTGCTGTTGTCACTTTTTTATTTTAGCCATTTTGATACCTACAAGAGAGATATCATTGTGGTTTTAGTTTACATTTTTTAAATTGTAGTGATGTTAAACATCTTTCCATGTGCTTCTTTTCCATTTTATATATTCTTTGGTAAAATGCCTGTTTGTCTTTTGGTCACCTAAAAAAATGTTTTAACTATTGAGTTTTGAGAGTTCTTTGTATATTCTAAAAATTTTATAGTTTTACATTTTACATTTAAGTTTGTGATTCACTTTGAGTTAGTATGCACATAAGGTCTGTGGTTTGGGTCAAGGTTCCTTTTTTGCCTGTAGCTAATTGCCAGCAACATTTGCTGGAGAGGTTGTCTTTCCTCCATTGAATAGATTTTGAACCGTTGTCAAAAATAAGTTGAGCATATTTGTGTGGATCCATTTCTGGAGTTCTGTAATCAGTTCCTATGATCTATGTATCTCTCAACCAATACCATACTGTCTTGATAACTGTGCTTACTATATAATCGCTTTAATATCCTACTATTTTATTCTTTTTAATCAGGATTGTTTGCCTCTTTTAGGGCCCATGGCTTTTCATGTAAATTTTAGTATAAGCTCATCTATTTTTTATAGAAAATCCTGCTGGGATTTTGATAGAAATTAACACTATCTCTTAAAGATGCATATTGAAATACATATGGAGGAAATCATGTGATTTATAGGATTTGCTCCACAGTAATGTGGGATGTGCGAGAGTAGGTAGGTGAAAATAGAGATAGATGAAACAAGATAGGCCAGGATAATATCATTATACCATCTTTTCTGGATTTGTATACTTGTATGTTTAACAAAGATTTTTAATTGCTTCTTATTAAAAGGAATGTTTTAATTCTAAATTTTAACTTAAACTCCTTAAATGTTTGCTGAAATTTATCTCCTTTATTTAAACAAGGTCTGAATTTAATATTATATGTCTAGGTCATGATTATTTATCAGTCCCTTTTGGAAGGTTTCATGTGGTCAGCTTCTAAGAAGGGAAACAGTGTTTGCCCAGATTGTACTGGGCTTATATACAATGGATATAAATGCTATTTTAATTATTTTATGTCCTAGGCACTGCTGAGAAAGATATAGAAAGTGCTAAACTTGTACAAATTTTACACAAACTGCTAGCAGATGAGAGAAGTGCTCCTGAAATCAAATATAATTCTATGGTCCTGATCTGTGCTCTCATGGGATCCGGTAAGTGTTACTTTATCATTTGATTTCCATCATCAATGTATGTTTGACATTATTAAGTATAGAACAATAGTAAGTGGTGACTTTGGGTTTTAAAAGCATTAGAAATTAATTTTTGGAGGTTATAGGATTACTATTTTTTTTTCCAATTAACTTTTTTAAAAAGATTTTTTATTTATTTATATTTAGAAAGGGGAAGTGAGGGAGAGAGAAAGGGAGAGAAACATCAATGTGTGGTTGCCTCTTACGTGACCCCCACTCAGGACCTGGCCTGCAACCCAGGCATGTGCCCTGACTGAGAATTGAACCTGTGACCCTGACTGGGAATTGAACCTGTGACCCTTTGGTTCATAGGCTGGCACTCAGTCCACTGAGCCACACCAGCCAGGGGTCAATTAACATTTTTGTTAAAGTCTACTTGGCATTCAATTCTATATTACTATTTTTTATTTAATCTTTATTGTATTTTTTCCATTACCATTTAGTCCCCTTATACCTTTCTCCCAACCTCCCCTCCAGTAATCACCACACTGTTGTCCTTGTACTTGAGTCATTTTTCCTTTTTGCTCAATCCCTACATCCACTAAGTATCCCCCACCCTTAGCTCTCATCCTGCTCTCTGAGTCTGTCTCCATTTTCCTTGTTAGTTCACTTTGTTCATTAGATTCCACATATGAGTGAAATCATATGTTATTTGCCTTTCTCTGACTGGCTTATTTCACTTTAGCATAATGTTCTTCAGGTCCATCCTTACTGTCACAAAGGGTAAAATTTCCTTTTTTATGACCGAGTAGTATTCCATTCTGTAAAAGTTCCGGAGTTGTTTTATCCATTCACCCATTGAAGGATACTTGGGCTACTTCCACATCTTGGTGATGGTAAATAACACTGCAATCAACATGGGATACTTACTTAATGTTCTTTCAAATTAGTGTTTTAGGTTCCTTTGGATATATTCCCAGAAGTGAGATCAAAAGGCAGATCCATTTTTAATTTTTTGAGGTATCTCCATACTGCTTTCCACAGTGACTACACCATTCTGCATTCCGCCAACAGTGCAAAAACATTCCCCTTTCTCACATCCTAGCCAGCATTTTTTTAGTTGAGTTTTTGATAATAGCCATTCTGACAGGTGTGAGATGATACCTTGTTTTGGTTTTAATTTGCATTTCTGTGATGATTAGTGATGTTGAGCATCTTTTCATGTGTCTGTTGGCCATCTGTGTGTCCTCTTTGAAGAAGTGTCTACTCAGATCCTTTGCCCATTTTTTATTTGGGTTGTTTGGGGGTTTTTTTTGGTGTTGAGTTTTATAAGGTCTTTATGAATTTTGGCTATTAACCCCTTATCAAATGTCTTGGTGAATATGTTCTCCTATTCTGTGGGTTGTCTTTTTATTTTGTCGATAATTTCCTTTGCTTGCAAAATTTTTATTTTGACGTAGTACCATTTATTTATTTTTTCTTTTGTCTCTTTGCCTGAGGAGATATATCTGATGAAATCTTGCTGCGGGCAGTGTCCCAGGTTTTGCTGCCTATGTTTTTGTCTACAATTTTTGTGGTTTTCGGTCTTAACATTTAAGTCTTTGATCCATGTTGAATTTATTTTTGTATGTGGTGTATGAAGGTGGTCTAGTTTCATTTTTCTGCGTGGTGTCTGTTCAATTTTCCAGATACCATTTATTGAATAAACTATTGTTAGCCCATTGTATGTGCTTGCTTCCTCCGTTAACAGTAATTGACTATAAAGGTGTGGGTTTATTTCTGGGCTTTATTTTCCATTGATCTCTCTGTCTGTTTCTATGCCAGTACCATGCTGTTTTGATTACTATGGCCTTATAGTATAGTTTGATATTAGGTAGGATGATTCTTCCAACTTTGTTATTCTTTATCAGGATCACTGCTGCTATTCAGGGGTCTTTTGTGATTCCATATACATTTTTGAAATGTTCTAGTTCTGTGAGATATGTCACTGGAATCTTGATAGGAATTGCATTGAATCTGTAGATTGCTTTGGGTTATGTAAACATTTTAATGATGTTAATTCTTCCTATGTATGAACACAGTATGTGTTTCCACTTATTTGTAGCTTAATACAATTTCTGTAGTGTCCTATAATTTTTTGAGTACAGGTCTTTTACACCCTTCGTTAGGTTTATTTCTAGGTATTTTATTCTTTTTGAAGCAATTGTGAATGGCATTGTTTCCCTAATTTGACTTTCTATTAGTTCACTATTGGCATATAAAAATGCAGCTGTCTTAGGGATATTAATTTTGTATCCTGCTACTTTGCTCAATTCATTAATCAGTTCTAGTGGTACCTTGGTGAAATCTTTGGGATTTTTGGGATTTATTGATTTTGGGAAATCAATAAATATATGGGATTTATTGATTTTGGGAAATCAATAAATATATACAGTATCATATTTATTGATTTGGGAATGTTGTAACAACCTTGCATTCCCAGAATAAATCTCACTTGATCATGGTGTGATATTTTTGATGCATTGTTATATTCTGTTTGCTAATATTTTGTTGAGGATTTTAGCATCTGTGTTCAGGGATATTGGCACATAATTTTCTTTCTTTGTTGTGTCTTTATCTGGTTTTGGAATTAGGATAGCTCTGGCCTCGTAAAATAAGTTTGGGAGCCTTCCCTCCCCTTGAATTTTATGAAATAGTTTGAGAAGGAGAGGTGTTAGTTCTTAGAATGTTTGGTAAAACTCACCTTTGAAGACATCTGATCCAGGGCTTGTTTTTGTTGGAATTTTTTGATTAGTGCTTCAATTTCAGTAGGTGTAGTCTGTCTATTCAGATTCTCTGATTCTTCCTGATTTAGTTTTGGGAGATTGTATGTTTCTAGAAGTTTATCCATTTTATCCACGTTGTCCAATTTTTTGGCTTATAGTTAATTATATTTTCTTACAATCCTTTGTATTTCTTTAGTGTCAGTTACTATTCCTTCTCTTGCATGTCTGTTTTTGTTTATTCAGGTCCTCTCTGTTTTTCTAGATGACTCTGGTTAAAATTTTCTCAGTCTTGTTTATCTTTTCAAAGAACTAACTCTTGGATTCATTGATCTTTGGTGTTGTATTTTTACTCTATTTCATTACTTTTGCTCTAATCTTTAATATTTCCTTCTTTCCACTCACTTTGGGCTTCCTTTGTTCTTTTTTCAAGTTCCTTTACGTGTAAAAGTTAGATTGTTTATTTGAGCTTTTTTTTTGTTTGTTTGTTTTGAGATAGGCCTGTAAGGCTATGAATTTACCTCTTAGGATTGCTTTCCCAGTGTCCCACAGATTTTGGATTGTTGTGTCCTCATTTTCATTTTTGTCAAGGCTCTTTAAATTTCTTTCTTCATCTTGTAATTGACCCATTCATTAATAACATGGAATTTAGCTTTCCTTCATGTCTGTGTGTTTTTCAGTGTTCTTCTTGTGATTGATTTCTAGTCTTACAGCATTGTGGTCAGAGAAGATGCTTGATATAATTTCAGTCAAATTTATTGAGACTTGTTTTGTGTCTTAACATGTGGTCTATCCTAGAAAATGTTCCATGGTCACTTGAAAAGTATGTATACTCTACTGCTTTGGGGTGAATTATTCTGAAGATATCAGTGAAATCAATTTGATCCAGTATGTTGGTTAAGGCCCCTGTCTCCTTGTTGATTTTCTCTCTGCAAGATCTATCCATTCAAGTCAATGGGGTGTTAAAATCCACAACTATGACTATATTTCGGTTGATTTCTCCCTTTATATCCATCAAGTTTTGTTTCACAAATTTAGGTGCTCTATGTTGAGTGAATAAATGTTTATTAGGGCTATATTCTTTTGTTGAATTGTTCCCTTTATCATTATGTAGTGTCCTTCTTTGTCTCTTACTATAGACTTGGTTTAAAAGTCAGTTTTGTCAGATATAGGTATTGCAATCTCAGCTTTTTTTTTTCCTTTCCATTTGCATGAAATATCTTTTTCCATCCCTTTACTTTTAGTCTGTGTGTATCTTTCGACCAGAGGTGGATCTCTGGAAAGCAGCATGTATGTGGGTCTTGTTTTCTTATCCATTGAGCTACCCTATGCCTTTTGGTTGGAGCATGTAAGCCTTTTGCATTTAAGATGATTATTGATAGATATGTATTAATTGCAATTTTATTGTCAGACTATTTTTCTCTATTTCTCTCTCTTTTTCTTCTGCTTAAAGCAAGCCCTTTAACATTTGTTGCAGCACTGGTTTGGTATTGACAAACTCCTTTAGCTTTTTCATTATAGAAAGCTCTGTATTTCTCCTTTGACTTTAAATGATAGCCTTGCTGAGTAAAGTAGCCTTACTTGCAGGTCCTTGCTTTTCATAGCCTTGAATATTTCACCCCACTCCCTTCTGACCTGAAATGTTTCTGCTGAGTAATGAGATGCCAGTCTAATTGATGCTCCCTTGTAGGTAACTCTCTGCTTTTCTCTTGTGGCTTTTAGGATTCTCTCCTTGTCTTTAAGCCTTGCCATTTTGATTATGATGTTTCTTGGTGTAGGCCTCTTTGCATCCAACTTATTTGGGACTCTCTGAGCTTCCTGGACTTGTGTGACTTTTTCCTTCACTGGATTAGGGAAGTCTTCAGTCATCATTTCTTCAGATAGGTTCTCAATCCCTTGCTCATTCTCTTCTAGTATTCCCAAGATGCACTGATGTTACTCTTCATATTGTTCACAATGTTTCTTAAGCTCTAGTCATTTTTTTAAAATTATTTTTTCTTTTTGCTGCTCTTCCTGGGGTTTTTTTTCTACCTTGTCTTCCAAATCACTGACATGATCCTCTGCTTCATCAGACCTACTGTTTATTCCTTCCAGTGTAAACCGGTGTAACATTTATTTCAGGTATTGCATTCTTTATTTCTGACTGGCCCTTTTTTATGGTTTCTATGTTGTTTTTCATGCTGTTGAGTATCCTAATAATCATTACTTTAAACTCTGTATCTGATAAATTGCTTGCCTCCCTTTCATTTAGTTCTTCCC